TCTGTGTTTCTTTTTCAGGATTGCCTTGGCTATTTGGGGTCTTTTCTGGTTCCATACAAATTTTAGGATTGTTTGATCTAGCTCTGTGAAGAATGCTGGTGGTGTTTTGATAAGGATTGCATTAAATATGTGGATTGTTTTAGGTAGTATAGACATTTAACAATGTCATTCCAATCCATGAGCATGGAATGCCTTTCCATTTTTTTGTGTCCTCTTCAATTTCTTTCATAAGTTTTCTATAGTTTTCAGAGTACAGATCTTTTACCTCTGTAGTCAGGTTTATTCTTAGGTATCTTATTGTTTTTGGTGCAATTGTAAGTGGGATTGATTCCTTGATTTGTTTTTCTGCCGTGTGGGATTACATCAACTTTTAAAATTATTTAATTTTTTTTTGAGGGAGAGAGAGAGAGAGAGAGAGAGAAAGAGCGAGCAGACAAGTGGGGGAGGGGCAGAGAGCGAACAGACACAGAATCTGAAACAGGCTCCAGGCTCCTGTCTGTCAGCACAGCGCCCGACGCCCGACGTGGGAATAGCGAGATCATGACCTGAGTCGAAGTTGGACGCTCAACCAACTGAGCCAACCAGGAGCCCCATATTATATTAAAGTTTAAAGGCAGGTAGAGTCATTTCTCCAACTCTATTCTTTTAAAAATTGTTTTAGTGATTATAGATACTTTGTTTTTATATATAAATTGTGGAATCACTGTTGTGTGATTCCATATATAGAAAAAAATTCGCTGCTATTGAAGAGCCTAAAATTAAGGCCTCCATTAAGAGCAACCTCAGGCTGCACGTAGTCCGACTTCCTCAGACTGCTCAAGGCTAAAGCCATCCTCGGACCGCCCTCAGATCAGCTAATCAAAAAACATTCCTGTGGTCTGAGTCAAGGTTGGGAACTGTAGACAGTTATTCTGTACAAACTAGCCAATTTCTCACCGCTTGCCTGAACCCCACATGGGCCCTTTGAACTCACCTCATAATTGGTCATTTTCAAAGGATTCTCAAAAGTCATGATTGGGTCCCACCAAAAGTAATGAACACCTGACAGATACTGAATAGTCAAAGCTGTTACCATGGGTACTGTACAATTGTAATTGTTGCTTATGTGATGATGCTATACGTACAACGTGTGCACTGTAACACCCCCGTCCCGTGCCCCATAAGAACCCTACTGGCTATTGTTCGGGGCTTCACCTTGCTGCCACTACACCGGTAGGCGGGTGAGCCCCTGCTCGAGCTTGTAATAAAGACCCTTTTGTACTTGCATCGGTATCGGCTCCTTGGTGGTCTCTGGGGACTCGCGAATCGGGCACAACACTATTTTTATTATATTACATGAAATTTATAGATTAGTTTTAGTAGAATTGATATCTTTATTATGTTGTGTATTCCAATCCATTAGGATGGTATGTCTCTTTGTTTAATTACTTCTTGGATTTCTCTCACTGGCACTGTGTGGTTTTCAGAATGTAGATCTTGTATATATTTTGTTAGGTTCATCCTTAAATATTTCATGCTTTGGAAATATTGCAAATTGAAGCGGTTTCTAAACTTTTGGTTTCCATTTGAACACTTACTGTATATAGGAGTGCAATGGATTTTCGTGTATTGATGTTACAGCTGGTGATCCAACTAAACTCATTCGTTAGTTATAGGATTTTCCCCCCCCAGATTTCATGGGATTTTCTATAGTAGATAATCATGTTGTCCATGAGTAGGGGCAGTTTTATTTCTTCCTTTCCCACTGGAATGTCTTTTATTTATTTTTCAGGAAGTATTACAGTAGCTAGGATTTTCAGTATGATGTGGAATAGGAATGGTAATAAGAATGGACACCCTTGCCTTGTTCTAGATCTTAAGGGGAAGCCATTCAGTTTTTCAGTATCAAGTATGTTAGCTCTGGGTTTTATGTGGATGCCCTTTATTAGGCTGAGGAAATTCCTTTCCATTCATAGTTTGCTGAGTTTTCATCTTGCATAGATGTCAAAGGTTTTTTCTTTTTTTTTTTTTGTCAGACATTTTATTTTTTATTTTATTTTTTTACAAATAGTTTATTGTCAAATTAGTTTCCACATAACACCCAGTGCTCATCCCCACAAGTGCCCTCCTCCATGCCCCTCCCCCCTCCCCCCCACATCCATCAGTCCTCAGTTTTTGTCAGCATTCAAGAGTCTCTCATGGTTTGCCTCTCTCTCTTTCCCCCACCATTTCCGCCCTTCTTCTCCCCCTTGTTCCTCAGTTAAGTTCCTCCTAATCTTCCTATATGTGCAAACATGATATTCGTCCTTCTCTGCCTGACTTATTTCGCTCAGCATAACACCCTCAAGGTCCATCCATGTTGCTACACATGGCCAGATTTCATTGTTTCTCATTGTCAAAAGCTTTTTCTTAATGAATTTTCATGATAATGTGGCTTTTCCTTTATAAACAATTAATATAATGGCTTTAATGAATTGTTTTACAAACATTGAGCCAGCCTTGCATTCCTGGAATAAACACTACTTGTTTGAGATATATTTTTCTTTATATACATTGCTGGATTCAATTTGCTAATATTTTGTTGAGGACTTTTGTGTTTGTGTTCATGAAACTGTTCATCTGCAGTTCCTTCCTTCCTTCCTTCCTTCCTTCCTTCCTTCCTTCCGTCCTTCTTTCTTTCCTTCTTTCCTTCTTTCCTTCCTTCTTTCCTTCTTTCCTTCTTTCCTTCTTTCCTTCTTTCCTTCCTTCCTTCTTTCTTTCTTTCTTTCTTTCTTTCTTTCTTTCTTTCTTTCGTCTTTGCTTTTGGTTTCAGGGTAATGTTGGCCTCATGAAAGGTGTTGGAAACTATTCTCTCCTGCTCTGTTTTTGGAAGGAGGTCTTGTAAAATTGATGTAAATTGTTAAAATGTCGATACTACCTAAAGCAATCTACATATTCAATGCAATCCCTATCAAAATAACACCAGCATTCTTCACCGAGCTAGAACAAACAATCCTACATTTTGTACGGAACCAGAAAAGACCCTGAATAGCCAAAGGAATCTTGAAAAAGAAAACCGAAGCAGCAGGCATCACAATCCCAGACTTCAAGCTGTATTACAAAGCTGTAATCATCAAGACAGTATGGTAGTGGCACAAAAACAGACACTCAGATCAGTGGAACAGAATAGAGAGCCCAGAAATGGACCCATAAACATATGGCCAAGTTATCTTTGACAAAGCAGGAAAGAATATCCAGGGGATATACCCAGTCTCTTCAGTAAATGGTGCTGGGAAAAATGGACAGCGACATGCAGAAAAATGAACATGGACCAGTTTCTTACACCATACCCAAAAATAAACTCAGAGTGGATGAAAGACTTAAATGTAAGACAGGAAGCCATCAAAATCCTTGAGGAGAAAGCAGGCTAAAGCCTCTTTGACCTCAGCCACAGTACCTTCTTACTCAACACGTCTCTGGAGGCAAGGGAAACAAAAGCAAAAATGAACTATTGGGACCTCATCAGAATAAAAAGCTTCTGCACAGTGAAGGAAATAATCAGCAAAGCTAAAAGGCAACCAATGGAATGGGAGAATATATTTGCAAATGACATATCAGATAAAGGGTTAGTATCCAAACTCTATAAAGAACTTATCAAACTCAACACCCCCCAAAAAAAATTCAGTGAAGAAATGGGCATAAGACGTGAATAGACACTTCTCCAAAGAAGACATCTCCCGATGGCCAACCGACACGTGAAAACATGCTCAACGTTACTAATCATTAGGGAAATACAAATCAAAATCACAGAGAGATACCACTTCACACCTGTCAGAATGACTAACATTAACAACTCAGGCAACAACAGATGCTGGCAAGGACGTGGAGAAAGAGAATCTCTTTTGCACCGCTGGTGGGAGTGCAAACTGGTGCAGCCACTCTGGAAAACACTATAGAGGTTCCTCAAAAAATTAAAAATAGAACTACCCTGTGACCCAGCAATTGCACTGCTAGGTATTTATCCAAGGGATATAGGTGTGCTATTTCAAAGGGGCACATGCACCCCAATGTTTATTGCAGAACTATCGACAATAGCTGAAGTATGGAAAGAGCCCAGATGTCCATCGACAGATGAATGCATAAAGAAGATGTGGCGTATATTAACACACACAATGGAGTATTAATTGGCAATAAAAAAGACAGAAAGATTGCCGTTTGTAACTATGGGAATGGAACTAGAGGGTATTATGTTAAGGGAAATTAGTCAGTCAGAGAAAGACAAATATCATACGACTTCATTCATATGAGGAATTTAAGATACAAAACCAATGAAAATAAGGGAAAGGAAGCAAAATCAATATAAAAACTCGTAGGGGGACAACACATAAGAGACTCTTGAATATGGAGAATAAATAGAGGGTTGCTGGAGGTGTTGTGGGGGGAGGATGGGCTAAGTGGGTAAGGGGCATTAAGGAATCTACTCTTGAAATCATTTTTGCACTATATCCTAACTAGGTTGGATATAAATTTAAAAATTAACTAATTAATTAATTAATTAATTAATGAAAACCAGTTGTGTTTCTATACCAGCAATGAAAAATCGAAAAGAGAAATTAAGAAAACAATTCCGTTTACAATAGCATACAATAGAATAAAATACCTAGGAATAAATTAACAAAGAAGATTAAATAGGTATACACTGAGAACTATTAAACATTCCTGAAATAAATTAACTATGACCCAAAGAAAATGGAAACATGTCCCATATTCATGGATTGGCAGACTTAATATTGTTTAGATGCCAGTACGATCTAAAGCAATCTACAGATTGAATGCAATCTCTATCTAAATTCCAATGACTTCTGTAGAAATGTAGAAATGGAAAAGCCAATCCTCAAATTCATATGGAATTGCCAAGGACTCCAAATTACCAAAACAATCTTTAAAAGGAAATAAAGTTGGAGGATTCAGTTACTTATTCGAAAGTTTATTACAAACCTATAGTAATTAAAGCAATGTAATCCCGGCATAAAGACAGACATATAGATACCTGGCAGGGGAGATACCAAGATCACGAAGGTGGTTTTCCCAGGGGCCAGGCTTATCCATTGCACTTCGGATGTGCTAACCCCTGCGATTTCCTCAAATGTGGGAAACTCGACTGCATAATTTGTGGTAGTGGGTGACTGCATTTGTGCTTTCCGTAAAAAAAAAAAAAAAAGATAGATATATAGATAAATACACTTGATCTTAGCCAAAAGGCCGAGAAGCGATGATATACAGATAAATAGAATAGAATTGAGAGTCCACATAAATACAGAAATACCTATGATCAGTTGATTTTCAACAAGGGTCTCAAGACTGTTCAGTGGGGGAAAGAAGACTCTTTAACAGATGGAAATGGGAAAACTAGATATTCACATGCAAAAGAATGAAGTTTGACTCCTACCTCATAGCATATTCAAAAATTAACTCCAGATGGATCAAAGACCTAAAGGTAAGTACTAAAACCATAAAACTCTTAGAGGAAAACATAACAATCAATTTTCATGATCTTACATTTGGCAATATATTCTTAGGTATGGTATCTAAAACTTGGGCAACAAAAGGAAAAATAAAATGGACATGACCAAAATTAAAATTCTTGAGCATCAAAGAACATTACTAAGAAAATGAAAAGAAAATCTATAGATTGAGAGAAAATATTAGCAAATCTTGTATCTGATAAGGGTTTAATATCCAGAGTATATTTTAAAAAAAAAAAAACCTCCGAAACTCAACAATGAAAAGAGAATCCTATTAAAAATGGACAAAGCAAATTAAAAAAAAAAAAAACATTTTCCAAAGGAGATATACAAATAGCCAGTAAATACATGAAAAGATGCTCAAAATTGTTAGTCATTAGTGAAATACAAATAAAAATCACAGTGAGATCCCACTTCACACCTACCAGGATGCTTATCACAGAAAAAACAAACAGAAAATAAGAGTTGGCAAGGATAGAAGAAATTACACCCTCATATGTTGTTGGTGGGAATGTAAAATAGTGTAGCTGCTGTGAAAAGCAGTTTAGTTAGTTCCTTAAAAGGTAAATCATAGAGTTTCAAAGCAATTCCACTTTTTGGTATATATACAAAATAATTGAAAAAAAGTACCAAACAGATACTCTCGCACCAATGTTCATTGCAGGATTATTCGCAATAGACAAAAGGTGGAAACAACTCAGTGTCCATCAACAGATGAACAGATAAACACAATGTGATATATAATGCAATGGAGGATTGTTCAGCTGATAAAAGAAATGGAGTTTTGACACATGATACAAGATGGATACACCTCGAAAACATTCTGCTAAGAAGCCAGATACATGAAGACAAATACTGTATGATTCCACTTATCTGAAAAATCCAAAATTGACAAAGTCACATGGACAAGAAAGTAAATTAGAGGTTACCTGGGACTTGGGCACGGTGGAAATAAGGAGTTACTGCTTAATGGGTACAGGGTTTTTGTTTTAGGTGATGAAAAAGTTTCGGAAACAGATAGTGGTAATGGTTGCACAATATTGTGGATATTAATGCCAGTGAATTGTACATCTAAAATTTTTAAAATAATAAATATTATGCCATACGTGTCTTATTCCAAAAACTAATTCCAAAAAGTGGTCAGTTAACCCAAGAGAAAAAGGTAGAGTTTGGAAAAAAAACAAAGAAAAGACATAACAAACTGAAATCAGCTAGCAAGATGATAGATTTTATTTCGAACATACCAATAAGCACGTAAATGTGGATGATCTACAAATACCATTTGAACGACAGAGATTGTCAGACTGGATTCAAAAGCACAACCCGGGGTGCCTGGGTGGCTAAGTCAGTTAAGTCCAACTTTGGCTCAGGTCATGATCTCACAGCTCGTGAGTTCAAGCCCCATGTCGGGTTCTGTGCCGACGGCTCAGAGCTTAGAGGCTGCTTCAGATTCTATGTCTGCCTCTCTCTCTGTCTGCCCTCCCACTTGCATTCTGTCTCTCTCTCTCTCTCTTGAACAAAATAAAACTTAAAAAAGAAACCACGACCCAACTACATTCTGACTACAAGAAACCCATTTGAAATACAAAGAAATAAATCAAAAGTAAAATGGGAGGAAGATATACCATACAGGTATTATCTAAAGTTGACTTTAGCTATGCTAATTTCAGACAAAGCCAAGTTCAGAGCAATGAATATTTTCAGGGGTAGAAAGGGACATTGCATAATAATAAAGGTATCAATTTTTGAGAAGATATATCTATCCTAAATATGGATGTACTTAACAAGAGAGCTTCAAAATTTATGAGGCAAAAACCAAACTTAAAGGAGAAAAAGAGAAATGCACCGTTATAGTTGGAGATTCCAACATACTTCTATCAATAATTGAAACAATGAGTAGACAGAAAAGCAGTGAAGATATAGATAACATGAAGAACACTATCAACCAACTTGACCCCCCTGACATTTATGGAATACTTCAGCCAACATAATACAGATCTTAAGTGAACATGGAACAATCACAAAGTTAGACTATATTTTGGCCCATAAGCAACATTTGGCAAATTTGAAATAGAAATCATACAAATCAGACCATATTGGAATTAAACTAGAAATTATTATGAGAAAGATATCTGGGAAATCTCCAGATTTTTGGAGCTTGAAAAGTATACTTCTTTAATGTTTTTTTTTTTTTTTAATTTCCAGGAGAGAGAGAGAGAGAGACAGCGTGAGCAGGGGAGGGTCAGAGAGAGAGGGAGACACAGACTCTGAAACAGGCTCCAGGCTCTGAGCTGGCAGTCAGCACAGAGCCCGACGTGGGGCTCGAACCCACGAACCGCGAGATCATGACCTAAGCGAAAGTCGGACGCTTAACCGACTAAGCCACCCAGGCGCCCCTTGAAAAGTATACTTCTGAATAACCCAGGGGTCAGAGGAAATTCTCAAAGCAAATTTAATAATATTTTTAATTAAATACAAATGGAAAGAAAACATAATGAGATTTGTGGGATGTAGCAAAAGCAGTGCTTAGCAGGAAATTTATAGCTTTAAATATTTATTAGGAAAGAAAATCTCAAATCATTAATTGAGAGCACATGTAGAGGAATTAATATAATGATTGAGCATTAAATTTAAGCTGGGAAGTGAGGACATGAAGGGAAGCTGGAGTAGCAGGTTTACTGAGGGGGCCCAAAGTATTGTTAGGGTGGATGAACAATAAACATGAGTTAGAAAGGAGGAAGTGTTACTAGAAAAGTGGGATGCTTGAAGTTGAGAAAAGGGAGGAATAGTTTGTTTTGTTTTGTTTTGTTTTGTTTTGTGGTAGTAATTATAAGGTCAGTGGTATGGCTATGTGGGTTAGTACGTTAGTGGGTAAAATAGGGTGGGGGGCAAGATATTTAGGGGAGAAAAGGTCAAGGAACTGAGAGGCCAGATTATCATGCAGATCATCTATATGCATACTGAAATGACCCAGAATTATGACAGCAATAGCATTGCAGGGAGTAACAGTGAACTGGGTGCTAAAATCTTCAAGGAAGCAGTGTGAGTGATCCAGGGGTCAGTGGTTGCCCTGAGGACAGACAGTGAGTGATTTGATCTGAGGATCTGAGACTCAAAGCTGGAGATTGTTATTGAGGAGGGAGGAGAATGTCCTGGAAGTGACAAGGAGGGCACCTTAGACACTTCCGGTCCTTGTGGTGCTAGAGGAGTGGGAGAGAAGGCAGCACCATTTAAAGAGGGTTTCAGGGACACTAAGGACCTTGGAGTTTAATTTCAGTTGAGGGAGAAGATGAAGGGAATATACAGAGACGCAGTTGTGGACATAGGGGAATTGATGATAGCTGTCCATGCATTCTACAAAGCATAGTAGGAAAGGGTTTTAGAAGTTGGGGAGGAGGGATATGGAGTCCTGAAAGCAATATGCAGAGCTGTCAGACTGCATGCAAAGAGAGGAATGAGTCTAGGGAGTCTTAGGGTGACTGACATAAATAGATAAAAGCCATGTTAAGGTTATTTATTTATGATGGTTTCAAGATGAATAGTAATGGTCAGGCCCTGGGAGTGAGAGGTGGTGGGTCTGTATCAGTCACGGTTCAGTCAGAGAAGCAGAACCAATAGGATGTATATACATACATATACATATACATATACATATACATATACATATACATATACATATATATGTTTATGTGATTGTGATATATACAATTGAAACTTAAACACATGCTTGAACTGCATGGGTCTACTTATACACAAATTTTTTTCAACAAATACAGCACAGTACTGTAAATATAGTTTCTTTTCCTTACGATTTTCTTTTTCTTAAATGTTTATTATTATTTTTGAGAGAGAGACAGAGATAGAGACAGAGAGAGAGAGACAGAGAGAGACAGAGACAGAGCATGAGCAGGGGAGGGACAAGAGAGGGAGACACAGAATCCCAAACAGGCTCCAGGCTCTGAGCTGTCAGCACAGAACCTGATGTGGGGCTCGAACTCATGAACCATGAGATCATGACCTGAGCCGAAGTTGGATGCTTAATCTGCTGAGCCACCCAGGTGCCCCTCCTTATGATTTTTTTAAAATAACATTTTCTTTTTCTAGCTTCCTTTGTTATACAAAGACAATACATAATACATATAACATACAAAGTATGTTTTAATCAACTATTTATATTATTGTTAAGCCTTCTAATAAATAGTTGTTAAGTTTTTGGGGAGTCAAGAGTTATACACAGATTTTCTTTTTTTAATGTTTATTTATTTTTGAGAGAGAGATGTAGAGAGAGAAAGGGAGACAGAGGATCTGAGGCAGGCTCTGCTCTCTCAGCACAGACCCCAATGTGGGACTCGAACTCATGAGCCATAAAATCATGACCTGAGCTGAAGTCTGATGCTTAGCTGATGAGCCACCTGGGCACTCCTACATGGATTTTCAACTGCATGGTGGGGAGCATCAGAGCCCCTATCTCCTGCATTGTTTAAGGGCCAACTGTACCTTGTCTGGAATGTATGATCTTGCGATTGCATAGCAATTGGATAGCCATTTTTTTTTTTTTACAAATAGTTTATTGTCAAATTAGTTTCCACATAACACTCAGTGCTCATTCCCACAAGTGTCCTCCTCCATGCCCCTCCCCCCCTCCCCCCCACATCCATCAGTCCTCAGTTTTTGTCAGCAT